TACGACATATAATGTCAAATTGAACATTCATCATAAAATTTACTTGACTCCATCATATTTATGTGGACAGTTTTTTTTTAAATATTGAAAGCGTTTCGCCAGTTGTAATCTTTGACGTTTTTATGTGAACATTTTAGCTCTAATCCATGTTTGGAGAATGATTAATGCTAACTAGAGATAAATGTGGCATTAGGTCAAAGCACATTGTGGAATATAATCTTCTTTATTTACAAGATCACCTTTAAAAACTTCTTTCTAAGAAAGTTGTAATAGTTTCAACTGTTCTTCCTACTTGCCTTCACTGAACGTTTTATTATATAAACTGTTTTTTTAATTTTGATTTGTTAAGCTTCATACTTATGCATGTCATCGGTAATATTACTTCGGGAAAGTTTTGTACACAAGACCTACCTAATTCACATATTGAAAGAGACAAACGATTGACTCGAGGTTTTAAACTATAGTTATATTGCATAATAAATGCCTGACTCAAAGAGAATATTGCATTCAAAAAATAACTACGGCAATATGAAATACTGAATGCAGTTTTTAGTATGGTGATTTTTCATTACCGTCAATGAATCGTGTTACTGTCAATTCGGATCTCATCTATTCTAAAACAAAAGAATGAATATTTTCATGACTTAAATCATTGTTTGAAATATTCTATATGCGTGTTGTACATTGAAATAATAAATCTTCAATCCCAATTCATATTCTTCCTAACCATCTGTTCGATAATTGTGACAATTAAAAAAAAGTAATTAAAAGCGAATTTCCGCTGCTTCATCTTTGGAATTCAGGTTTATTTATCCTAATTAAAGCACTATAAATTATCTTACACAATACAACATTAACGTAATACATAGCATATAAATAGTACCGTTTTGGAGCGAGATAATTATTTCGAAGAGAATGATATGTTTAGTCATTAAACATCTGTTATTATAATATATTAATTTAGGCGTTGAAATTGTTTCGGTCTAAATGTGTAAATGTAAATTTTATTTACGAATCTAGAAGAGTTTCATGAAAATAGTATGTTCAAGAATGAAATATCAATTCCGATAATGATTTATAATCACTTGTGTAATTTAAGCAGAATGATTAAAAAGAAAACAAAGACTGATAACAGAGCTGTTGTACATAAATAGATCAGACTACTAGAAATTGTAAGAATATCAAAGAAATCTAATTTAAACCAGGAGACAGTTACAATGGCAATACAAATTGCTTGAGATCACAGATTTCATCATTCCTTTATTCGTTTGACCATCATCTGGTTTATCTGAAATAGGAAATTGGTTACAATATCCTGATTAATGAAACGTCTCCTTTTAAAATAAGTGTATAAGAGTCATTCCACATCATAATTGTCAAAGCTTGAGATAACTATGATGGTTATTCTGTTAACTGTTCTACTTATGTAGGTGACACTTTATATTGACTATTTATAGATGCAAAATTTTATCATTTACGGTTAAATATATATATTTCATTTGGTAGACTTGTAGTCATTAGAATATTTTAAAGGCGATTTTCATCACGGAGCAATAAAAATCTTGCAAACAAATTAAACTAAGTGATTTACTATAATTTGAACAATCTCTAAATGTATAAATATCTCACTAGGAATAGAGGTGTGAGTCTCGAGGTTTCGCAGCAGGCGCACAATTTTAAAACCACTGACAAAAGCGTCAACATTTCCTACGTCTAAATTCTATTTCTATAAGATAAAGCGTAGTGACTAATCAACATAATTTGAAATAGTAATTTCCGTCCCGATTACTAAAATATTTCATCTCGATATTGGGATATCCATTCATAACATTCTTTTTCCAACAGATGATCTGTCTACAAGAATAACTCCCAAAAACTAATTGCTGAACTACTTTTTTTAATCTTTTTTCCTTGTAAAAAGTGTAGTTATGTAATTGTGTGTGTGTGTGTTGGATTATTAGTTATGGCAAAAATACAATAAAAACTATTATATATATATATATATATATATATATAATCGGGACAAACTATCGGGTTATTTTTATACACACAATGAATATGATAAATAAAAACTAACAGCTGTGACTAAGGATTACCATGTAGTTTTGGTCGATAAATCAAGGTAAACGGTAGCATAAAAAAATCTAATGTTCAAGAATAAAGGATGCAGATGGAAATAACTACCGGAGCATTTTGAATAACTGATAAGATACAACAGTTTAACCGATATCAGTACATGCCACCGTGAGCTATTACTGATTTGAATAATTTCGAAATGGAAAATGTCCCATAGAGCATAAACAGTCGAGTCTGATTCAGTTTTCGGAATTTCCAGAAGCCTATTTCATGGATTTATAACAGTATTTTATTTTTACGAAGGAAAGTATATACTTTTAAACTCGGCTAAGAGATACCCATGAGAAAACTTATCACCATTCAAAATAATAATAATCGATCAGAATTAAATATACAGCAAACTGTTCAGCAAATCCAATGGCTTTATCCATACACGTAATATTATAATAATATTATGCAAACTCTAATTCAGTTAATCTTCACGTCTTTAATTGCTATGACTAACACAAAATATAGGAAACTAATCAACAGAATTTGACACAAAGTTATGTGAATTTTATTTCATAAATTACTAACTTCCATTACATTGTCTGTATTTTCTACAGACCATCCGGAATCCACCTACTATATTGAAAAATTGTTAGGTTTATTCCTATTTAGCAACATTTTTCACAATTATGGTAATCAGTTGTTTTTATAACTTCTTATGAATTTCAATTCGTTTCATAACTTAATCTCACTAATCTGTGATTATCCCACTAATATCATTTGTCAAATAAACAGTTTATCAACTTGGAAAATAAATTTTTTAACGGATTATATACAGGTGAAAGTAAGTAAATGCTAACAAACTTCTGTCGAACTTATCATGAGCAACTAAGAGAAGATGATTTGTGCAAAAATTAGCTAGTTGAAGAAATAAAACATACTTTCTCATTTGTTTGTCAGTTTTATTGATGGATTTGCTTTGAATGTTTTGATGACTTAAGCAATACACAAACTTTATAAATGACGAGTTAGTGTTTACCGTCTAGTGAACGTCTCATCTATAAATGTAATTTGAGACTTCATTTTAAAAAAAGACTCTAACAGCACAGATTGAGTTTATCATTATATTCATGCTAGAATAGATAACTTTCTTTTAAAAAGGAATAATATTTCTCTTTTATTACTTGAAAAGTTAGTATCGAAAATTTGATACTCAGAAATATGGAAACATTTAGAAATTAGTTTAAAAGCACTAAGTAGAAAAAACAATGGTGAAACACCGATTTAAAATGCAAACGATGACCCATAGAATACACATCAGAATTATAAATCTGTTAAAATAAAATTGTTACGGCTTTACGCTAACAAATATTCGGGCTACCTCTGAGTGACCAATATACAACAAGCATGAGAGAGCTGCTAAACTATGCTTGAATGATAGCCCAACATTAACTTGAATGAGTGAAGCGGAAGAACGAAGACCGATGATCACCAGTCTTAGACCCATTATTACATTTCAAAAATTACTTTTTCTGCACAGAAAAATAGGCCACATTGCACCAAGAAATGGAAACTAGCAATTATACATGCATGAGCTAAAGGTGGTTGTGAGTAGAGGAGACTGGGAATAAGAAATTAACAACAGGTTAAGAAGTATACACCATAAAATAGTAATTATTGAGTTACTCAAGAGCTCAGGATGTAGGATATATATATATAAAATCTAGTTAATTTTCATACAAATAGACTATGTGTAGCAATAATCAATAAACCGGGTTGATTAAGTTTCTATCTACTTTATTCATCATTCCGGTATAACAAAAATCAAACTCTTTAAATTAACCGACCATGAGTTACATGAAAAAAGACGAACTGTAATAATTTGAATCTTAAAAAAGCAATGGTCCAAAAATTAACTGCTAGAAAGTTTCGTGAAAAGTCATTTACCGATTTCAAACAATTAGTTCCTTTTACAAAATTTGAACAACGAGAAAATGTAATGACTATTTCCGATTTTGCGTCCCATATTATGTAAATTTTGTCTTTCCTGTATTTACAATTATTATCTTAAGTTTATTTGAAGTTTGATTTTATTGACCTTTAATAAACTTTCATAAAAAATGCCTTTATAAGTATTTGTGTGACCAGATTTTCAGAAATGTATGGCGCAAATACATTACATTTTTCAGACAAACTAGGTCTTCTCAGTGTTGCAGCAAAATTTATTTTCAAATGTCAAGCTAGAACAGTTTTTAATCTCACTAGTTGTTTTCATATAAAGATTAATTCCTTTTTAGATTAAGTAACACGTCACCAAAGTTATCAGCGCTGACTTTTCTTCAAGTCTGACTTTTAAAGTGAATTATAATGGACTAGTGATGACAAAAGAATGAAATTCTCTGTTGCTGTTCAACATAAACAAACAAAATTCAATCATTTCTATAATCATCAAAAATTTCTTCATGTTATTACTAACATCCTAGGCAACACTTTCATTATGCTCGTCGCCTGATATGCTTGAAACTATTACGAGTTCACCTTAGTCAATCACCTTAGTAAACCTGAGCGAAGACAAATGATGCAGTGACAGGGTAGGCTACTCTAATCCTAGTGTCCCAAGGCCCGACTAAGTAGAGGAAGAAGTCTTGACAAGACATAGAAAGTGTAGTCTACAAGCACCCAGAAAATATCGAGGTTTCTTAGGCCTTGTCTTCGCTCTCCTTTACCGACTAAGGTGAACTCGTTATAGTTTCAAGCATATCAGTTGACAAGCATAACAATTTTATAATAGTGGAGTTGTTTTAAAATATAATTTCCATCTAATGATATAAGCTTTCATCATTAAACTATTAGTACACAATCAGTTTAAACGTTCATGGGAATGAAATATACACTAATGATTCCTACACAAATCAATCAAATCAAATACAACTTACTTGTAATACAATCACAAAACGATGCCATACAATTTACTGTAAAATAAGGTAACCAGCAAACAGTAAATGAACCCAATATTAAACCCAATGTAATCGCAGCTTTATGTGCATTGTATAATTGTTTTTCTGGATAATTCACCACAATTTGTGGACGTGTTATACCATTCACATTGTTATGTGTATTTAATGATGAATTTATCGGTAAAGTGTACACTGGTAAACTATGCTTTCGACGATTCGATTGAGTCAATGATGCTAATGAACTAGCTGACATTTTATATGTACTAATTGGTTTATTTGGAGTTGACGAAGAAAATCCATGTTTCGATGTGACATTGATTAAACGTAATGAATAATTTAATTGAGATCTAGAGAGACGTGATGAAATTTTCAATGTATCCGTTGAAGTAGTTAATGAATTTCTTACACTATTATCTAAATCATCATTTGAAGTTAAATTCATATTTCGCAGATTGAAAAATGATTTACGTTTTGGCAAATTATTTGTTGAAGGTTGTAATAAATAAATGAATTGTTTATTATCATTATATTCAGTAGATGATAAATCATTTGAGTAATTGGTAACATTAGAAAATACATTTAACCGACTAATATGTTGTTTCGTTAATATAAATAAACGTGTATAAATTGTGATCATCAATATTAATGGGATGATAAAACTAAATATCGCATTGGTGACAGCGTAAAATCGATTCACTTTGTGTAAACATGTGAATCTTGTGTGTAATTTATAAAATGTCAACAAAGCTTGTTTCGATGTGATTGTTTCCACTGATGAAGGAGGTAATGGTGTATGCGTTGTGGTCAATGTACAATTATTTTTATTTGTTAAATAAGTATTGAACACATTATTATTGATAGTTAGACATGTATGATAATTTTCTGTTTGCCAGTATAATTGAATTGGTAAAATTGCTATGAGAAATGATAAAAACCAAATACCAATTAATGTGAAAAATAAATATTTCGATTTTAAACAACGTGAATATTTCAATGGAGCTTTAATATAAATAAATCGATCAAATGCCATCACAACTAAATGCAATATAGTCACTGTACAAAATAATTTATCTAATGCATAAAATAATTTTATAAAATTATCAGAAAAATTTTCCGGGCTCATAAGATTATACATAATACTGCATATCATAACAGTACTGGAAAAAATTATATTAGTGATAGATAATGAAATAAATAAAACATTGGATCTATGCCTAAGATGTCGATCATTCAATGCAATAAAACATGCTAATGAATTGCCAAGGATAGTACAAATGACAATCAATATCGGTATCACTGTAGTCCATGAAAACCAATAAGGATTATATGCAACATGATTTATGGGATCAGTAATTTTGTGTACATTATTGACTGTATAAGTAGAAGGTAGATCATGAAGTGTTTTTAATGACCACCATAAACATGTTTGATTATGATTTATAGTTCCAATTGAATCAGGTGGATCAAGTTTTATATGGCTCATTTAATAATGGAAAATAATTTTTTCGTTTTATTTTCTTCCATAAAATTATTTCACATTGAGAAAGAAAGAAACACGATAATCTATTGTTTGTGTATGATTTGTGAAATTTATACATGAATCATTTCATGCCACTTGTTCAACTAGTCTTTGTTCCACTGTTTATTTACTTCTCTTTTTTTTAATGCGCACAGAAAATTATCTTTTATTTCTGTCTAACAGTAATCTGATTGGTTTATAGATAAAAAAGACCAATAGAATTCTTTCTTACCAAATATACTGATTAAATACATATTATATCCGGTGTAACATGAATTGTTCTTTTCTTTTTTAACAGATTACTTAATTTACTTGTAGGTTAGGGTTGATGATAGATACGGCGTCATGATCGCAACTAGATGACTATGAAACTAGAGGCATCCATAAAAAATCTCATTTAAACTGTAATTCTTGACGAAGGCAAGTTGAAACTCGATTTTAAATTAATTAACTCCAGTTAACACTTTAGATTCACAGAATCCAAACACTTTCAGTACAATAAGTTTTAAAGGATTGTTGATGCAAATGAGATAACAAACTTACCTTACAAAGACAATTATTAAACTAAACAACGGTTTCATCTAAAAATCTGGTTCCCAAGCTTTGTGTGTCTACAATTTTAAAACAAGGGATCGAATCACAGTACCTTGAGTCTCGTGAGGAATACGTCAGACAGTTGAAATGTTTGACTTCCATAGATTCTTGGCATTGCATAACCGTCCTACATATAATTTGGTAACTAGCTACCTCTTATTAGACAATTTTCTACTCCAGTAGCCAAGGCTTCTCAGCAGAACTTCAGGAACTGCCTTTCAAAATTAGTCACTAGTAATAACATGATAAGTATCAGTATAAAGCGCTTCATGAAGATTATTGTTTCTATGTGATCTCCGGGAAAAATTTGTTCATCAAATGTTGGGATAGCCATCGAGAAGCCACCCACGCATATATTCGATTGACGAACTTGTCGAATAAATGTTTAAATATTCAATGGGAGTCGGTCGATGAAGTTATCGGTTAAATGTTTAAAAACTTTCATAGCAATATCGATTATATATATAACTGTATAAATACGCATGTTTTCTTGTATATTTTTGATTCCGTCAACAAGTGGTCTCCAACGTCTTTCGTCTTCTTAGTTTACAACGGTGTGGAGGTTCTAACGTTTGGGGTCGTTATATATACAGTGGTTTTGGGCGTTACTCAGGTTGAGAATCTAACATCAAGTCAGCGAACTCCCTAGATGTCTTTAAGTTATTGACTAATCAATGTCAGACGATAGAAAAGCTGACCTGTGTTGGTTCGATGAACTTTAGAATAACTCTTAAATCTACTATTATTCTTGTGATGTATTTAAATTTTTTGACAGGCAAGAAAGAATGAGTTAAAGCAGCAGATAAATATTTCATTTCACAACGATGAAAAATATACAACGCAGTAGTGGACTAATGGCTAATCTCACTGTCAAGCTTATTGAGTAAGAAGTGCTTTCTTTTGATGCTTCAGGAGGTCAAAGCTTATGAAATTCTGCTTGTGAATAAACCTGGAGTATTGTGTTAGTGTGCTTGAACACTTTGCTAAACATCGATTTGACATTTGCACCTTTAATATATATATATATAGATAATCGAATCACCAATGAGTTACTTGTTTGAATGAAAGAACTTCTAGGGATCACTGTCACTATACTTACACAAACATTGAAAATTAAACTCGTATAATCATATAGTTTTGTGTTTAAGTGGTGAATAGGATACATGTTGTACTTTTGATACATAATGTGATTAAGTTTCTGTACTGCATACTTCATCATGCATACAATGTCGAGAAATCCCGTATAAGCAGTGAATTATTGCGTAATTTTATCTGGATTATATAGTTATTTTTATTTACTAACCAGAGCATCAAATTGTAATAATCTCATCTTTTATCGTGTATTTGTGTCGATTTCGAGAATGAAGGAAATTATTCCATATTCAGCTTATCGCCATATGATTAGTTAAGTGAAATAATAAAGCGAGCGTATATATATATATATATATATATATATATATATATATATATAAGCTCGCTTTATTATTTCACTTAACTAATCACATGGCGATAAGCTGAATATGGAATAATTTCCTTCATTCTCGAAATCGACACAAATACACGATAAAAGGTGGTTATTTAAAGGCTTACTAGTAATATTATGAGATAGTTTAATCTACCCAAAGAAATCAGCTAGGATCATTAAGAAATATTAGCTTTCTGATAGCTAGTGGTATACAAATATATGTGTAAAAACTTTAACAAGCGGAGAACAAAGAAAAAGGCTGTCGAATTTATTCTTCGTTGCCATTTTTTTTTTCAAATTTTAATCATCGGATTATTTATTCGTCGATTTCGATAATGTGACATTGAATACATGTTGTACACTTGTATCATTTATATATATCCTATTTTACTTGATGCTAATAAACTTTCATAATCTTATTTCACATGGATTGGATTAGTAAACTATAATCTATTGTTAGTATGGTTTCATTTTAAGTTTATACTAGTGTAGTGTCAAATTGGTTCACTAGAAATAAAAGTGAATGTTGATAAAAATAACCATAAACACAACAAAAATGTCATCTCAAAATAATGAAAACTAAAAAAATAGTAACAAACCAAAATGTTTAATCAACAGCAAAATAGAAGAAACTAGTTTTGATAGCACAAGTAAACGTAGATCGCATGTAGGTAAAAGCATAATTGTAATCTATAGGGAGAAATGTGATATTATATGCTGTGGAGTAATACCAAAATAAAAATAATCAGATTTGGTATGAATTATTTATCAATGGAATTGTTTTATCAAGAAAATTGGATAAAATAAAAATGAGTGGAATTTTGTGGAGAAATACTAGCCTTCATTAAATTAGATATTTAATACTCTATTTGTAATTATTAGTTAATGAAAACATGACATTATTTGAAAACTAAATATAAATTTTTTGAGGTTTTGTCAACAATGAAGAGATTATTATTATTATTATTAATACTATAACTTGATACTAAAGAATCAGTATATAAGTATAAACACTGAATATAGTGGATAATTTATTCGATCGCTTAAACATTTCCTAAAATGGGGCCTTTTTAAAATGATTATGTTGAAAGATTTCAATGTTTTTTGGAGAAAGTTATCAATTTACTTTCGCGATAGTATGACGAAAGGTTGATGACTGCTGAATCAACAATAGTGATCAATAATCCGTTTTAAAATTCATTGCTGTTGGCGATGTTAGATCCCCAGAAATCGTTTGATGAATATCTATATTTTGGATTTATTTCATGCACCGATCAGTTGACCTTGAGATCACATTTACCACTAACAGAAGCTTCGGCCGTGATTGGTTACTGTGTCATTTTAGTGTGCTATTTTTGTGACTGTCCCAAGGGCGTCTCTATGGCGTATAAGTAAACGTAATTTGAGTTCTGAGTGTTTGTAGAATACAATTTCTACACTATATTAAAACTTACTGCTTATGCAATTTGGTCAAGAGATCACAGTAGCCTACCTGGACTCTGGTTCATTGTTTTGTTCTCGTTATTCGACTAAGGTGAACTCGCAATAGTTTAAGCATACCTAGAGACGAGCGTAACAATTGCTTACAAGGATGGGCAAATAAGTTTTTATCTAATGAAATGTTAATGATGAAAAAGTTCATTATTAGATACGTATGCAACACTTCTAAACTAGTTTTCAATGAAATATCCGTACATTATAGTTTCATTTACTTTTTACATGAATTGTCATTATAGGTTACATACACTTAGCATTGGATAAAAAGTGAAGTACGACAATGTAATCTATGTTCAATGAATTTATTTCCAAGATGTAACAATAAAAGATATATATATATATATATATATATATATATATATATATATATAAACAAATCACTTTTGTCTGACGAAATTTTGATTTACTTTTCATTTTAAAAACTTGTACGGTAGATACATAAAATAAAAACAGAACAATTTTTATTGTATCAAAGCATTTCATATTCGTTAAAATATTAAAAGAAAATAGCATTTTCTTCTGAGAGTACTTGATAGATAACTTCGACTCCTGGTTATGTGATTTTATAATAGTTAATTGCCTGGCATTATGAAGAAGATTTTTGAAGTATTCAAACCTTGTTTAAAAAAAAATGACAGTGATTAAATGATTTTGAAATCAGTATAGAAAAATTTTTTGTGAATCAAATCTATGCCTGAAGTGTCACAATAGTATTTAAAATGCATCCCTAGTGGTGCAACTCCTCTAATTTCGATTCTTACAACCTATATTCTTTGATATTAACTTGTTTATGAATTATGAGTAAATTATCAAAATTTTAGTCGATGAGAGTATGTATACGGTTCGTTTTGAAGAATTAATAACACATATATATGTTGACGAAGACATTCGTTGCGAAAGTAGAGTTGTTCTCTAGTAGAAGCCTGCCTTTTGGCGAAATCCTCCCATTTTCGAACAACGAGAAGTGTGTCACGCTCATATGATTTTGAGATGGTGGAGAAAATTTGTAGCTCAGGTGGATGATTGTGGTTGCGTTTCGTTATATGAGCACAACAAAAACAACCAGCTCAGAGAAAGAAACACCACCGCATACATATGTAGCATATTTAATTACCACTCTTTATTCAGAAATATCGTAAACTCAAAGATTGATATATATATATATATATATATATATATATATATATATATATATATATATATATTCTGATTGTATTTTTTACATAGTATTAAACGGTTACAAGTTCAAATTCTCAAATAAATGAAAACTGTTTGAATTATGAGTTTAAATAATATTTACAATTAGAATCAACAAGGTGAATCCTCAAAATAATTAACGGAAATATTTTTAATATACATCTTTTTTACATTTTTTATACATCATCAGTTTTCTGCTGTCAATTTCCAT